ATAAAACATCACCATCATCAGCAGCATCGTCATCATCATCACCCACCTTCACCATCATCATTAACAACAACATAGGCATCATCATCATCCTGTTCAACGGGTGGTCATACCAGTCTCTGATGCCCCGCTGTTTCTGTGAAGAGATGAAACATGCGCTACGCAGATAACGGAACATGCAGTACGTCACGCTCTGACAGCATCCTGTCACACACTACGTTCAAAGAAACGTCGTTGGCGATCCAGCGGCTAAGAAACCGCATCAGGTGAACCGCGGCCATCGCTTCCCACGCAGTGGCGCTCGGAGCACCATGAATTCGAAATCCCCCACATGCCATACTCACCAAATCTTCCAGGAGAGCTCCCGCATCAGACAATCCAGCCACCAGCTCCCAAGGAACCTCGAAGACCGCCATCAAAACTGCAATGCATGTAGTTCCCGGTCGGTCGCACTGGGGTTCCCTGGTCGATCACGGGGGCGTCGCGCGCAAAGCCCTCTCCCGCAAGCTTCGGAGTTGTTCTGCCGACGCGCGCGACGGCGCGAGTCGCAGCGGGCTTCGCGCGGAAGCAGAAAAGACGAAGCCAACGCTTGATCAAGACAAGTTGCACACGTCAAGACGGCCGTCTGGCGCAGCTTGCACTTTGCGCGCCATCGTCCTTGAAGCCAGCGCATTGCGCTTAAGTTGCCGCCCGCGGCGGCCAGGCGAATCGCAGGCGCGGCTGGCATGCTATCTCAAGAATCCGCCATGGACTGACCTGTCTCGGCCGCTCCCGCTGAGGTTGCACTGCCGAGCGACCAACTGCGGAGGCGCGCCGGTCCTCCAAGTCCCTCAGGCTCAAATCCGAATTAGCATTTGCGATGAACTCGCCCTTCTTCCGCTGCCACTTCTTCGGTTCGCGAGCGCGCGTCTTCCAGTGAATCCCGGAGGCGCGCGCAGATGCCCTGCCCCAGCGCATCTGGGGACCCGACCTGGAATGTCTCCAGGATGTCGAACTGTGATTCCCCATCTCTCCGAGTGCCTGCGCAATTCCACCGTTCCGAATTTATTCATGCTGCGCAAGCCGGCAAGACCTGCATGGCGAACAGCGAATGGCAATGAAGACGGCGCAAACAACCACCTGCCCAATGAAGCTGGCCCAAGAAGATTGTTAACGAAGACATCCTGCCTCCTGGGTGGTCGATTTGTCGCGATTCCCGAGTCGCCCGCTGGGCCCAGAGAGACCCCCCCTCCTCCTCTCGCCGACCTCTCCCCAGCACGCGCCTCAACATAACACTCTCCCAAGGAGTAGCACAAAGCGTGCATGTCCCTGCAGAACAGCCGCCCAGATGAGCCGCAAGTTGCAATCGGCACTACTCTGGAATACAACTCGGCCGTGCGCTCCTGAGCGTGGATATGCCGGCATAGATAACAAGACGTATATGACCACAAAGCGGAAGAAGCCCCGGCCATACGGCGCCTCGCTGCAGCTACATGCTCGGAGAGGGGTGCCAGCTAATCCCCCATGACTTCCACTTCTGGAACGCATTCAACATGATGATCCTGCCCGTCTACATGGACTACTGCATCGAGATGGCCCGCGGACGTGTCTGAGTGCAAAAGCTTCAGGGACTTGAGATCCCAACGGAACCCATTCAATCCGATCTCCCGCGTCATGCTCGAAAACATCGTCGCCGCGTCGAACAATGACTCACCGACGAAGCACAGATAGTCTGCCCAATTTGCGCGGTTCAAAAAGCCAACATGCTGAAGGACATTTCCGAGGCCGGCCACTTCCCATTCGACGACGCGGTTCGCGATCACCATCCGCATGACCGAATTGACCAGCCACGGCGATTCGACCCCTCCCTGCCGGACGGCCCCGTTGAACGGGATCCGTTCAGATGCAAACAAATTCACCAGAGGCACTTCGCGCGTCAAGTTGACCAGCTCTGCAACAATGCATAATGCCACATTTGGGGGAACGCCCCAGAACTGCACGGCCCCCACAACCGCGCAGGGTCTGACATAATCAGAAGCAGATTTGACGTCCGCACTCAAAATGTACAGAGGCCCCCTCCCACCCCACTCTCGCCCCAATTCCGAGAACGCGTAATGCTGTAGATACCTGTCCACACAGGTGGCCCTTGGCATAGCCGACAATCAATACTCGATCCCATGATTCGCGAGGCACGCGCGGAGCGTGCTGTTTCACCAGCTTGATCAAACGCACCACGCAGTACTTGGCAACCACATCAATGAGAGAAATGCCCCAGAACTCGCCCACGATTTCCGGCCTCTGCACTTGCGGGCCCAGAGCGATTATGATGCGTCTCCAATTGTTCGACTCTGTCTGGAAAACTATGCGTCGACGGTAAAACGCCCAACGCAGAAGAATTGATAACCGAAAAAGGAAGACGCAATAACATCTCTGATGCGATTGAGCTACCCCTTCCCGCATTTTTCGCTGTTTTCAGCTTGCCCCGGCATGCTACAGTATGCGCGCCATTCCAAGACGGCGGCCCTTGCCAATCGATGCACGAATTCCTCGCAAAGCCCAGGGCAAACGCAATCAAAGGAGACGCCATATCCGACGCGAAGGTGCCATCGGAATAACGTCCACGGCTGGAACCGTCCAAGGCATTTGCGTCACGCACTTCAGCGCTTGCGTCCTGCGCGATCTTTGACGTCGTTCCCGAAGTGCGGAAGCGGCGCGCCATTTTCGTAGTTCGCGTCGCCCCACCCGTCGCCAATGCCGTCGATCATCCCTGGGTTGTCTGATGCTGCGGGCATGCTTCTCGGCAATTTTCAACGCCACTGGCGTCGACGTGGCCCCGCGTCGCCTAGACGATGTCGTGGAGAATATTACACTCAGAGCGTTGCCCTCCGCAACAGCGGACGCGTCAGAGACGGCGCCATGTTTCGCAGACGACCGCGCGCGAGGGGCAGAATCGCAAGTCCCGCCCGAGAGCCCGGAATCAGCCGTGACCCCAACAAGAAACTTGGCCCAGCCCGTCTGGCCATTTGCGCCATGCCCGTCGCGGTCCTCCGCCTCCCACCATCGCTCTGCACAGCAAGATTGGGCGCGCCCCGCAAGCCGCCCCAGACCAGAAAATGATCCGACTTCCCGAGCCGCCCAGGGGAGACCCCCGCTGCGCACTCAGAGGACCGGGACGCAGGCCGCAGGCAAATTGTCAATTCCGCCCCCCGGGGACTTCGGTTCCCCAAGAGATCGCTGCGCATGGCGCGCGGCCTGCCCCCCCCCCCCCCCCCCCCCGCAGAAAATATCAATCGCGCGAAGTCCGAAACGCCCCATCACCGCAAGGACTGCCTCCATTCTCTCGACGCAACGCGCCCCCCGCCGCCTTCCCAAAGCACGCGATCCAGTAAGGCTCCCGATGTCTGCGCCCAACTCCACCTGCAATTCCCCCCGAAAATGAAATACCTGGCCCCTCCCTGGCGCAGCGATTCTGCCGGGGCAGAAAGAGAAGTCAAATGCGTCATGGAGGCGTCCAAAGATTTCGAGATATCATGCAAGCAAGCTGAAACAATTCCAATATCTCCCAAAAATACTCCTTGACGGTGAAAGAATTGCGCTGCGCACGAACCCCGCAAACTCCCCATAGGCTCGCGCGGGGCGATTACGGCAAACAGACAGGAACCCTGGCGAATGAGACTCCAGCCCGAAAACTCAACATCCGGCGGCCAAGAAGAGCACCCCTGAACCATCTAGACGCCCCTAAAAAGTCTATGAATGTCCTACAAGGTAGATCGAAAAGAATTCCAATTTGAACGATGCACGCTGAAAGTGCCGACCCCGATAGAATGCATTCGCAGGGGCTGCCTCGCCCCGACACCTCCACCTCCCCTGCTCCTGCCGATTCAATCCGCCCGCTAGAACGACCACATCTCCCTGTTCATCCCCGCCTCGTCCAATCCGAAAGCTTCATGCGCGTTGGACTCGTTCCAACACACTCTCCCCCTCCTCCTCCCCAACCTTGCGCGCGAGCAGCCAGTGCGGGTTGTGCGAACATGCTGCGAAAGAATCTGGATGGACGATCTCGATTTCGTGGTCAAGGAACGCCTTGAATTTGCCGACCTTCTCGTAATGGAGCTGGCCCGCCGGAGATCTCTCGGCGTTCGCCCACAACTGACGATGGTTGTAGTAGTTGGCTGGGTCCTCCAAGAGTTCTTTTAAGCAGAGGGCGATTTCAACGGCGTTGGAATCGACGACAACGCGAATGCGATTCAAACGGCTTCCCCACATTTCGAAATCCTTCACCTTGAATGACAAAGACTCCGGGAGTTCCGCCCTCAACGCATTCGCACATGGTTCCGCCTCGATTCTCGACATGCCTTTGGTCCAGCGCTCGGCATGAGTCGTAAAATTGTTGATCGTAAGGAACGCCGGCTTGAAAGCAGAAGGAACACCCGAACTCCCTGCATCGCTGCCTGACCCTCCTCCTGTCTTGGCTATGTTCAGCGCCTCATCGCTCTGCTTAAGTTGGCAAGTTGGCTGGAATGTTCCTGGATCGCGGTGGACAAGCCGTCGACCTTAGCCGTCAACAATTTGAGCTCGTCCTTAACCGTGTCAACGATCGTTCTTCAGCGTCTGCAAAAAAGCTCTGGTCCATATCACCCACTTTACCCATCCTGAAAGATACCGTTACTATGCGTGTTGGTTCCGTTTATGCGGAACCAGGTGTGACCGGGAAATTTAAGGGGTACAGGTGCGATCGGGAATTCAAGGGGGTACAGCCCTTGAGTCCCTTCACTTGAGCCAAAATGGCTTGAGCCAAAATGGCTACGGCAGATGCAGCATCATCGTAATCATACTCATCATCATCACCATCAGCAGCAGCATCATGATAATCAACCATGTCAGCATCAACAACAACATCACTATCATCACCATCATTGACAATCATCACTAGTACCATCGTCATATTCATCCTCGCCATCTTCAGCCTCAGCCGCATCTCCATCACCACCACCACCCCAACCCCATCCCGCGCCCGAGCGAACCTGCTGGTGGGGTACTTCGGGTGTTCGGAGAAGAGGCGGATCATGTGCAGCGAGGCGTCGTCGTCGAGCATGTTGTGAGACAGGTGCAGCTCGCGCACGGCGAATGACGCCCCCTCGTGAGGCGGGCAGCCCCGTCCCTTGCCCCTCCCTTCAGCCCTACCCGCTCGGGCCCCTTGCTGCCCTGCGCAAGAACTCGCTGGGGCGTCTCCGTCAATCCAAGAAGGCAGAAGCAGAAACTTTGTGCCGCGAGGCGTCGTCGTCGAGCTGTGCTGCGCGACAAGTGCAATTCGCGCACAGCAAACGACGCCCCCTCGTGGGGAGGGCAGCCGCGACCCGCTCCGGCCCCCGCTGCCCCCTGTCCGCTCGGGCCACTTGCTGGCTGGAGACAAGAAATCGCCGGGGCTTGGAACGCATTGCTGCCTGCTGCCCTGCTGCATCATTCTCGAGAGGCGTAAGGTTAAACTTTCGGAGCTCGTTGCTATCGGAGCCCGTCGCTCTTCTTCGTATTATTTCCTTATCATCAAGACCAGCCTGTCCTTACTCGATTTGGGGCGTCCCCAGGCCTCCTCGCGGGAAGTCTTGAAAAAGCTCTCGGCATCCAGGGGGCCCTCGCTGGGCCCTGGGACCGTCAACAAAGCAGACTCGAGACTAGAAGCCGGACCTGGGGACTTCCGACGTCGGATCTCTCTACGAAGCGAGAGCCCCAGGAGGTCTGGAGACTCCAACTGGGGACCAACGTCTCTTTCTGTTCGAACGTTTGATGGTCCCTGGGCACTCCTCCTCCTCCTCCTCCTTCTCCTCCTCCGTCTCCTCCTTCTCCTCCTTTTCCTTCTCCTCCTCCTCCGCATCATCATCCTCCCTCCCGGGGGACCAGCGTTTCATCCTGAACGAATGCTTAACGGCCCTCGAGCCAGGCCCCCCACCCCTCCGAAGGCTGCAGACTGCCAAAAACCTCCCGTTGCCTCACTGTCTATACTGTTGCACCCACGGTCCCCCTTGGGGGCCCATCGGCTGCCGGAAACGACTATAGTCGGACTCAAGTGGACAGGACCCGCGAGAGGACACAAGACCCTTCCGAGGGCCACATCGCCACAGGAATGTAGGAAGCATGGATCGCCAGACACAGGACACAACGGTACCCCTTGATTTGGCAGGGTCGATCTACTAATCTGGGCCGACTGTAGTGAGCAGAACATATCCCCCTCTCCTGAGCACCCCGACAAGCGACGAAGCCGCTCCGTAAACGCACCCCTGGAAGGAACCCGACCAGGGTAGGGCTGTTTAGCCAGCGCCCAGGGCCGTTTCGTGAAACTCTCTGTCGGGGTCGGGGTGGTTCTTCCTCCGTTCGGGAGCGGCCAAGAGGGGGGTGTCCAAGAGGGAGCGGGTGCAAATCATGACCGGCGGCATGTGCGCGGCCCAGCGGGGGGACCAGGGACGTAGTGAAATAAGAAGAGGCGCCATGAAATCTGGGGAAATATCATGCCCCCCGCCATGAGATCCACTCCCCCCTAGTCATCGCCCCCCTCTTTGCCGCCCCCGATCCGTTGAACGATGCGAGGAGGCCCGGGGCCACACGTGGCCCCTTGAGCGAAAGCCCGGCGCGGGGCGGCGGGCGCCGCGGCGGGCGGCGCGGGGGCGCTGCGCCGGCGCGGCCGAGGCCTTCAGGAAGTCGCAGAGGTGCTGCACCCCGGCGGGGCCGATGCAGTTCCTGCGGCGCCGGGCGCGGGAAGGAGCCAACGAAGGACCACGCGTGCGGGCCTGGCTCGGACCAGGCGGGTGCGGCCGTGGCGCGTGGGGGCGCGTGCAGTGCGAGGCAGATTGAAAAGACCAAGGAGGAAACTCCTTGGTGTCGGCGCGCGGGAAGGAGCCAGTAGAGTGCTCCCAGCTGGGGTCGGAACACATGTCGGAGGATCGCGCCGCATCGTTGATGCATCACCGACGTATCGGCGATACATCGGCGACGCTGGCGTGGAGAACATCGGCGTCCACATCGAGCTGTAGCGCAGATGCACCGACGATGCGGCGCAAATCCTCCGACACCATCTACTCCGACCCCATCTGGCAGGCCTAGAGAGAAGGAGGAGAAGGCAAAAATAGGGAAAAGGAGGAGGAGGAGGATAAGGTGGGGATAGGGAAGGAGAGGGACAAGGACGAGGAGGAAAAGGCAAGGGGAAAGGGCTGGCAGAGGAGGGGACGCACGTCGCGCGCGGTACCCAAACATGCTCGTTTCTTGGACAAAAACCAGGGCGGGCAGTCTTGAACCGTATGCGGCCTCAGGGGGCACTCGCCGTCCCCCCGGGGGCCGTCAAAAACGGCTCGGGAGGGAGCGCCAGCCCCGGGGAAAAAAGTTGGGGCGTGAGGGGGGCCCATACTGTTAAATCGGGCCTGTACCCCTACAGGCCGAATCTGGACGAAAAATCAAGAATATCGTAGCACCCCGCAATTGCGGATAAGAGTGAGGGGGCGGGCGCGGGCGACGCGGGCGTCGTCGAGTCGGCGGACCTCGTGGCCCCCACCTTCCTTGTCGATGGCGCTCTCCTCCACCTCCTCCTCCTCCTCCTCCTTCTCCTCCTCTTCCTCCTCCTTCTCCTCCTCCTCTTCCTCGTCCTCATCGTCATCGTCATCCTCCTCCTCCACCTCGTCCTCCTCCTCCTCCTCCTCTTCTTCCTCGTCCTCCCTCTCCCCCCCTCGTCTTTTCATCATGGTCCTCCCATTGTCGTCCTCCCCCTCATCGGCCTCCATCATCGTCCTCCCATTGTCGTCCATCATCATCATCATCCTCCCCCTCCTCCCCCTCCTCGTCCTCCTTCTCCCCCTCCTCCCCCTCCTCCCCCTCGTCCTCCTGCTCCTCCTCCTTTTCTCTCTCCACGTTCTCCTTACATCCTCTCTTCTTCCTCGTTCTCCTCGTCCCCTGTTTACTCATCCTGCCTCCCCCTCCTTTCCCAAGATAACTGCAACGCAATCCTTTTTTCCACTTTATGCTCCCCGCCTTCTCTGATCAAGGCAACTCGCCAGGGCAAAGTTGCTGGACGGGCTGGCGTGGATGTGCGGGGCGTGAAGAGGTCCTTGCGGGCTTAGACGGCATGCAAGAATCCGCCGCCGCGCTTGTGCGGCATTGGTTTGTTCAGTGAACGTCGTTTAGGTCGCGGGTGGGTCGCGGGCTCTCCACCTCCACCTGGAAGGAATGCAAAAGCAGCCCGCCGCAAGCGCCAGAAAAATTGGTTCGTACACGGAACGAGGTTTGGGTCGCGGGTGGGCCGCGGGTTCTCCACAGGGAACGAATGCAAAGGATGCCCGCCGCAGGCGCCGAAAATGTGGTTTGTACCCTGAACGTGGTCGCGGGTGGGCCGCGGGCTCTCCACCTGAAACGAATGCAAAATATGCCCGCCGCAGGCGCCGAAAAATGTGGTTTGTACCCTGAACGTGGTTTGGGTCGCGGGTTGGTCGCGAGTTGGTCACGGGATGTGTCGCGGGCTCTCCACTTGGAAGGAATGCAAAAAAGCCCGCCGCAGGCGCCGAAAATTGTGGTTTGTACCTTGAACGTGGTTTGGGTCGAAGGTGGGTCGCGGGTGGGTCGCGGGGTAGGTCGCGGGTGGGTCGCGGGTGGGTCGCGGGTGGGTCGCGGGTGGGTCGCGGGTGGGTCGCGGGGTGGGCCGCGGGGTGGGTCGCGGGTGGGTGGGTCGCGGGGTGGGTCGCGGGGTGGGTCGCGGGGTGGGTCGCGGGGTGGGTCGCGGGTGGGTCGCGGGTGGGTCGCGGGTGGATCGCGGGGTGGGTCGCGGGGTGGGTCGCGGGTGGGTCGCGGGGCGGGTTGCGGGTGGGACGACGACAACAAACAACAACAACAACAAACAACAACAGCAACAACAAGAATCCGCACCGCGGAATTCCACATCAGCCACGCACCCAGGGACAGTGAATGACCGTTCGGCCCCCTCACTCTGACCTGAAAATATGAGAAAATACCAGAAAAATCTAAGATCGTTCCCAGACTATGTTTATACATATTTTTGAATATCCCCCCTGTAGAGGGACAGGCCCGACTTAACCAGACTGAAACATCAAAGCATCGCATGCATGGGCGCCTGTAACGCAACCGTTATGGAGCACGTGGCGCCTGCAGCGCCCCAGGCCCACTCGTTCCGACGGGTCGCTGCTACTTTACGTTACGTATTTTGTGGGGCTAATCTGTCCCATGGCGCTTGCCATCCGTGTCGAACCCGCGTCGAATCCATGTCGGTCGCGTCGAATCCGTGTCGAAATCACGTCGCGTGAACGTCGAACCCACTTCGGAACACAAAGACACCGCCATCTTGAGGACAAGAAAGGTCTCCCGACGATGCGACGTGAGCTAGTTCCAGCGGGGCCTGCCAAGCCGAACAGCCAGTAGTACTCAGAAGGAATTGCCAAAGCAAGAGATTGCTTATCATCGAAGGACGATTGCATATTCACGGCCTCGCAGTCCATACCCCTCTGGCCGCGACCCAACGGATACGAGGCGGCCTTGCCCAGAAGCCCCGCGCGGGCCACATCCATGCGATCGCGAATCCATGGGATCGACACTCGTCTTCCAGACCGCGTGGGCATGGGTAATCATTTTCGAGAGAACGCGTTTCACGGGCGCTTGCCTTGGGAACATTCGGTGGCGCGTTTCGAACAAGGGGGGGGGCCCCAACACTCGGCGCCGTCGATCAAAAACCAGGGGGACCCCCATCCCCCCCCTTCCCGAACACCCCCCCTCTCCCAAAGGGGGGAGGGTTCAACCGCGACCGGTTGTTACTGTGGCCCGCTGGGTGTTAGTATGGCCCGTTGGGTGTTAGTGTGGCCCGTCGCGCGGCCAGATGGGAGTTACTGTGGCCCGCGCAGGCCGCTCAATGAAAAGTAATATGTAAAGGTATATCATGTTAGATCTGGAGAGATTCGCAACCCTTAAGGGAATGCACTCCCGCGCAGGCAAAAGTGGCCACAGTAACTCCCACCTGGAACCAACGTGGTAGTAGTGCTGTGTTAGTGGTGTGGTGGTCGCTGTGCTGTGTTAGTGGTGTGGTGTTGGTAATGTTGTGTTAGTGGTGTGGTGTTGGTAGTGGCTGGTTGTGCTGTGTGCTGTGTTAGTGGTGTGGTGTTGGTAGTGGTGTGCTGTGTTAGTGGTGTGGTGTTGGTCGTGTTGTGTTAGTGGTGTGGTGTTGGTCGTGTTGTTGAGTTGTTAGTAGGTACTAGTGTTGTGATAGTGGCAGTGGTGCTGTGGTAGTAGTGCTGTGGTAGCGGTGTTGTGCTGTGGTTGTGGTATTGTGGTAGCTGTGTTGTGGTGTTGTGGTAGCGGCGTTGTGGTGTTATGTCAATGGTATTACGGTAGTGGTGCTGTAGTGTGTTAGTACTGTGGTACTGTAGTGCTGGTGTTGGGGAATACCATTCATACGGGGTACTAGTCCTAAGGAGTACTAGCCGTACGGAGTGCCAGCCCCAGGGAGTACCACCCCTAGGAATTACTACCCCTAGGGCGTACTCGTCCAAGGGAGTACTCGTTCTAGGGAGTACTCGCGCTACGGAGTACCAGCCCTAGGAACTACTAGTCCTAAGGAGTGCTAGTCCGAGGGGATGCTAGGAAGTGCCGGAGGAAGAGGCTCTTCGGAGAGCCCAGGAGGCTCTTCGGAGAGCCCAAGAAGCGCTTCGGATGCCCCAAGAGGCTCTTCGGAGGCCAAACGAGGCCATTCGGAGAGCCCAAGAGGTTCTTAGGCGGCTGCAAGAAGGTCTTCGGCGGCTCCAATAAGCTCTTCGGAGAGCACCAGAAGCTCTTCCGAGAGGCTCTTCGGCGAAGGGGGGGGGGAGGAGCCTTTATGGATCCCCCCCCTTTCACCGTACTCGACAATAAATTAACTCCAGAGGACCCCTGGCCATACTAACACCCACTGGGCCGCAGTAGCAACCAACGGGCCGCAGTAACACCGTATCTCGGGTTCAACCCCCCCTCCCCTTCGGCGCTGGCGCTGGCGGCCGCCAGCAGCGCCCACGGCGGGGACGCAGCAACGATGACCAGAGGCAGCCCAGGGGGGGAGGTTCAACCCCCCCCCCCCTCGCGCCTGCGCCGGCGCTGGCGGCGGCCAGCAGCGCCGGCGCTGGCGCGGGCGACGGTGGGGACGCAGCCACGTTTACCACCACTACCACCACCACCACCACCACCGCCTCAACCCACCACCACAACCACCACCACAATCAGCACCATACAACTACCACCACCACCAAAACAGCCACCACCCACCACCACCACAACCACCACCACAATTCACCATCACAACCACCACCACCACAAAAACCCACCACCACCACCACCACAATCTACCACACCACCACCACCACCGCCATCACCACCACCACTACCAGCAGCACAACCCACCACCACCACCACAAACCACCGCACCACCACCACAACCACCACCGCCACCAGCACCACCACCACGTCCACCAACCACCGCCACCACCAACAACACCACACAACCACCACCACAAACCACCACAAACCAACACCACACCACCACCACACCACCACTACACTACCATAACCACAACCACAACTCACCATCACCACCACCACCGCAGAAACCCACCACCACTACCACCACCACCACCACCACAATCTACACACCACCACTACCACCGCCACAACCACCACCGCTACCAGCAGCACAACCCACCACCACCACGACCACCACCACC